TACAGTTCATTAATATAATATACTGGAGGCCCGGTGCATGAAAATTCGTGCACTCGGGGGGTCCCTCAGCCTGGCCTGTGCTCTCTCACAGTCTGGGCCCCCTCGGGGGATGTCCACCTGCCAGCTTAGGCCCGATCCCCCCGGGGAGCAGGCCTAAGCTGGCAGTCAGACATCCCTCCGGATGCCCAGGAGCCCTCGGGGCATGTCTGACTGCAGCTTAGGCCCACTCCCTGCGCTGGCCTAAGCCAAGTTGGACATCCTTAGCACTGCCAAGGAGGCGGGAGAGGTTCCCGCCATCACTGCTGTGCTCACAGCCGTCAGCCAGATTTGTGGCCAAGCGGAGCTCCCCCTGTGGGAGTGCACTGACCACCAGGGGGCAGCTCGTGCATTGAGCATCTGCCCCCTGGTGGTCAGTGTGTGTCATAGTGACCGGTCCTTCCTGGCCTTGGGGTCAATTTGCATATTACCCTTTTATTATACAGGATGTCAACAGTTTCCCCTCCTCTGTAGTTTCCTCCTTGCAACTTACTTGTGTTTTTAGAAAGAGTTATTGCTCCTAAAAGTCCCCTGCATTCTGGACTTCGCTGATTCCACCTGTGCAGTCTTGTTTACTGTGTGCCTCTGTCCCTTGAGTTTCCTGTGAATCAGAGGCGGACTCGGATTTGGGTTTTTTGTATTTAGAGAATGCTCCGTGGGTGATGCCGTGGGCTTCCATCAAGAGGCACCTGTCCCTTTCGATGTTAATAGCTGTTGGTGGTGATTGCCTCGGCCCATTAACTCATTAGGGCTTGTGAAAGGGTGCCATCCTCACTCTCTGTCACTCTTCCTTCGTTACCTGTGACAGAGAACTTCCCCTGGTCAGCGCGTGGTTATCCCAAGTTGCAGTTCTCAGGGGAGCCAGGGGCAGCGCCTCATTCTCCCTTTATTACCAGACACCAAAGCAGTGAGTGGTCCAGGCATCCTCTGCTCTGAGGAACTGAGGTGGTTAAAATATTCTGAACTCATGCATTCAAGTTTGCGATGGTCTAGCTCACGGCCGGAATTCTTGATGATGCCCAGGTCCCATCCCTGACTGGTGAAAGCTCCATGTTTCCGGGTTCCTTTTGAGGTGACCCTGGAGCCCTTTGGTGCTTTCCCACTTTCTGGTATGAAAAGATGCTCGAGGCCTCGTCTTGTGCTCATTGATTGATTGATTTTAGGTGATGGCTTTATTGAGATGTAATCCCCATGCCATACGATTCACCCATTTAAAATGTACAATTTAATGATTTTAGTGTATTCACAGAGTTGTGCAATCATCACCACAATTTTAGAACATTTCATCACTTCAGGAAGTAACCCCAAACTTTCTCCCATTTCTTCCCATTCCCCCATCCCCAGGCAGCCACTGACTACTTCCTGTCTCTAGATTTGCCTATTCCGGACCTTTCGTATAAATGGAGTCATGTACTGTGTGGCCTTTTGTGACTGGCTCCTGTCACTTAGCATCATGTTTTTAAAGTTTATCCGTGTTCTAGACTGTATTACTACTTCATTTTATTGCCAAGTAATATTCCATCGTGTAGACACACCACCTATTATTTATTCATGGACAGCTTGACATTTGGGTTGTTTGCCCTTTTTGGCCATTACGAGTAATGCTGCTGTGAACGTTTGCATACGAGGTTTTGTGTGGATGTATGTTTTCATTTCTCTTGGGCACACACCTAGGAGTGCAGTTACAGTAACTATGCTTGACCGTGTGACAAACTGCCAGGCTTCCTTCCAAAGCAGCTGCCTCGTTTCACTGCCCAGCAGCCGTGTGAGCGTCCGGTTCTCCCCTCCCCACCCTGTCGTCGTTTTAAACCTAGCATCCCTAGTGGGTGCAGTGGGACCCTTGCGGTTTGGATTTGCATTTCTCTGATGGTTAATGATGTTGAGTATTTTCGTGTCCTCTTTGGTCATTTGTGTATCTTTGGGAACCTAACAGTGGGCACCAGAGCCGGACTTGGATTCCTCCAAGGTCATTGAAGATGGAAGCATCTCTGGGGTCATTTTCAATGGAATAAAATGGACATAGAAATACAGTACTAGGGATTTAGAAGGCATTTCCATTCAGGATCCAAGGGAATGCCAAGGGGTCACCACTGGCGTTTCGGTGACCTGGCAGTTGTCTGGTTCACAGTCACGGCTGTGGACGCAGTCTTTCCTCACCTGCCCCTCAGGAGGACTAAAAAGTGTGACATCTTCTCGGGGACCTGCCTTCTGTCAGGGGAGTGGGGCTCTCGCCAGGTCACCGTGGAGGGCTCTGAATGAGATTAGGGTGTTGGCATGGTAGCGACATATGTGCACACTCAAGGGTCCTCTGTCTGTGAAGGTGAAGGCCAGGTGAGACTAAAGGCCTCCACTGGTCTCTTCGGGCTGGCTGGGTGGTGAAAAAGAAAGCTGCCCCTCTCACCCCACTCCCACGCAGGCCAGCGACGGGTGGGACGCAGAGCCGCTGCCTTCTCCACAGCCATGAGGTCGTCTGGAACGCGGTGCGTGCTCGCACATGTCTGCCCGTCACTCCGTGATGCTTTTTCCAGCGTTCGTTAGTTGAGTTCATCCAGCTGCTTCTCCAGAAAGATGACATTCTAATTATAATTGCTCGTGATTCAGTGAAGAATTTGTGGAATTTTTCCTACGTCAGCAGCTGCAAGTACGCAGGCTTCTCTCTGTTCCCTTTGCCCTGCTCATAAAGCATGAATGTGGGGTGTCCACCGTCCTGTGGCCTGGCCTCTGGCTCCCCCTGATGCCACCATGCTCTTCTGTGTGGCCTGGGGACAACCTTAAAGGACAGGCTGCTTTTCCTTCCTCCCCCGGCCGTGGGCCGCAGCCTGCACTCCACTTGCCAGCTCTCCATGTCAGTAACCCCAGCCAGGGAGCTCTTCCTTACGGATCTGTGGGATTTCCTTTAACTTGTAAGTTGTGATAACAGGAAAATAGTGACCTTCTTTCTTTGTCCAGTACTTGGATTGCAGAGATCTCAGTTCTCTGTGTGTCTCTGAGAACAAGCGTCACTTGATAGACGGTGACACGGCGCTGGGTCCATGGGTCTGCCTGTGTGTGCTGACGTTCTAAATTAGTATTCCAGAAGTAATGCATGTGATGCATGTTCATTGTAGAAAAGTTAGGACAAGTGGAGAATCAAAAACAGTGTATTCCTCGTCTTTCCATGCTGTCACATGCTCTTGTTGTGAGTTGGTTCTTAAAGGCAATCCAATGGTCCATCGTTTAGTTCTATTGTAATTTATGTAATCAGTGCCTCGTATTGAATATTTAATTATGGAAGATGGAGCAGTCTAATTGTATCTATTACATAGGATGCGGTGATGGCCATCGTTTCTGGTTTAATTTTTACACACATCCATGACATTTTCCTTGGCTAAATTATTATAAAAATAATGCAGATATTTAGGGTGCTTGGTATACACTGACAAGACGTCCTCTAGACAAGCTGTCCAAAGCATTACGCCATTTGCTAGGCCTGGGAGTTTCTATTTTAGTACCACCGAAGCTGGAGACTCTAATGATTAGTGACTATTCCTGTTTACATCTGTGAACTTCGATACTTCTTTTTTCTAGTTTTCTAGTTTGGTTGTTCTTGAAAAAATCCTGGCTCTAGGAAGGATGTTACCTCTCTGCCTTATCACATGGGTTGCGATTCCTGTGAGTGGCATTTTGAGTTTGGAGAGACGTTGCGACTGATTTAGGGACTCGCTGCTGCATTACCCACAGTGTCCATGCTGCCTCCTCTGGCTGTGACTTTCTAAGTCAGACGTTCATGCTGGGATGTCCCTCCCCCAGAAAATGGATGCAGAAATTGTGGGGTTGTCTGTCCCCTGGAATACAACTCAGGAATAAGAAAGAACAGACTAATCGTGGCCACAAAAATGTAGGGCATACTGAGCAAAAGACAGAGCAGGGGCAGAGTAGACTGGGAGCTGGGCCTGGGAGGGCTGCGGAAATGAGGACAGTCCTGGGCACAGTTTCTCTTGGAGATGATGAAAAGTCCTCAAATGGATTGTGTTGACAGTTGCACCCCTCCATGCACAGGCTAAAAACCACTGAACTGTACATTCTGAAAGGCTGAATTTTATGGTATGTGAGTTAGGTGCCCATAAAGCTGTTCAGAAAGAGAAAATGGACACAAAAGAGTACATACTGTGTGATTCCATTCACATCAAGTTCTAGGCAAAAGTGACCTGAGAAGCAAAAGTTAAAGAGTGGAGTCAGGCAGATTGACGGAGCGGTTGGTGGAAATGATCTGTATTTTCTGAGTGGTTCTTACCGGGATATAGGCGATCGTCAAAGCTCACCTGGGGGAAATGCATTCCAATGAAAAACAAGTAGACCCTGATGCCATCTTTTCCTCCCCCGGCCCCTCTCCTGCTTCTCCTTCTTTTCTGTTTTAAAAAGTATTTTTTAAAGTTATTTCTTTGCTAGGTGGTATGCCCTTAATTAGCTGTCCATTGACAAAGATCCCAACCCGTCACCTCAGTATACCAGCTGCCGCCACACCCATACCCCGCTCACTGCAAAACCACTTCCCCCGAAGCCAGAGGTGTGGTCATCAGTAGGCCGCGTCCTGCACAGGATAGAACAGCTTTGGAGAAGTGAAGAGTAATTCTTCCACAAACGGACTGGAATCTGTTCTACCAGGGGAATTACATTGAGTGCTGAACCCAGTCATTGTGAGACAATGGGGTTTGTCATTTCCCCCTTCCAAGAGGAAGTACCTTGATGCATTTGAAACTTCTCAACATGCTCTGAAGATATTTTTGGAGGGCAGGGGACATTTTGGGAAGTCAGGCAGATTACCTAAGTCAAAGAATGCTTGCATTTATGGTGTGTGGGGAATCTGTAGGCACAAAATGTGAGAGAGACTCGGGAGTAGATGGCATCTGGTTGTGCAAATTGTACAAACTCAGCAGTGGGGACCTGTCCTCACGCCTCACTGCTTTCTCCTCTGGGGGGTGTAGGAGCTGGTCAGACTTACCATCGAGAAGCAGGGGCATCCGTCTCCAACAAGCCCAGTGAAACCCAGCTCCCCAGCCTGCAAACCCGAGGGGTAAGTGCTGACTAACCCTCCAGCCACGGTGCTCACGTTGGCTCTACACTCGAATGGTAGCCAGATCGGGCTGCCCACGTCAGGCAGGTTGTGTGAGGCCCACATTCCTTTTTCAGTGAGTTCCGGTAAGTGCCTGTATTACTCTAAAGTGTGTACAGTTCACACATGCCTTGAAGTATTTCCTGGTCTCAAGGTTAATTGGTCAACGGGACTCTTTCTAAGGATAGTGTGTGAGTGGCCCAGTGACCCACACTTTCTGTTTCTTGACCACCCTTTCCTAATTGGGAAGAACTTTGGGAAGAAGGTTGGGTTTGGGGGATTTGACTTTATCTACTACAAGCCCCTAGTACAGACATAGAATAAGTGTGGAGCATTTTAAAAAGCCTTTAGATCATCTCATCGAAGGATTCCTTTTACAGACAAGAAAACTAAGATGCAGTCAAGGGGACCTGGCCAGGCCTCTGTTGTTTGTTGGTGATCAAACCACACTTGCAAGCCCACCTCTAAGTCATCTGCCGGCCTGGTCACGTCCTGACCCTCTTTGGACCTGTGTGCTCTGTAACCTTCTGTAACCCGAGTTCTTTGCAATTCTCAGCCAGTCTGAGCTCCCCCTGACAGACAGAGAGATGGAGATTCTGAACAAGACAACCGGCATGTCACAGTCGACCGAGCTGCTCCCAGATTCTACTGATGAAGAGGTCGCGCCCCCCAAACCCCCACTACCTGGCATTCGGGTGGTTGATAATAGGTAATTCTCTATTTTCCCAGCACTCTCCTCTATTTATGACATCATTTGATGAATGGATGGGTAGAATGAGGTGAAAAGAAGACAGTGCCATTAGGGTAAGAACTGGAGCCCAGCTCCTTGCTTTTTAGAAGCCTTGGAAGTTTGACCTTTCTCAGACGGGGCTTCTGGGAGACAGGGCCCAGCCCCAGCGCCCGCCTCCCCCACACTCCTGGAACTCCCAACGGCTTGCCTTTTAGCCTTGGCCAAGCGAAAACTGGTCCAATTCCTCACAAAAGGAACAGAAAGGGTTTTTCTGGTTGTAGTTTTTTTGGCAGGTCTGATAGGTTTGTTTTGGCAGAAGGGGAGTGGGGCGGGAGTTGAAAGTGTGAAAAGTAGCTGTGAAGTGTCTTAATAATGAATAATGCTCTACCTTATATCTGTTTAAAGAGTTTTGTTTGGGCTGTTGGTCTGATGGGAATTCTTGATTTGCTTCAGTCCTCCGCCAGCATTGCCACCGAAGAAAAGGCAGTCGGCTCCATCCCCAACCCGCGTGGCCGTGGTGGCCCCCATGAGTCGAGCCACCAGTGGCTCCAGCTTGCCTGTCGGAATTAATAGGCAGGTAATGCAGCCCCATCGAGGAAGGCCAGCAAGGCTCAGGGTTGGGACTGTGTCTCCTCCGTCCCCTGCCTTAGTCACCACAGGCTCTCTCAGGCTCTGGAAGTTTCTCTGCAGGATGAGGGGTGGGGGCAGGGGGTGGGGAGGCTGGAGCCCAGGGCTCCGAGCACATCTGAGCTCAGCCCCAGGCCCTCCCCCACACACTCCAGCATTCCTGGAGGCTGCTTGCTGGAAGTCACAGGTGTGGCGTGTTCTGCTTACCTCAAAGGCTGGCCTTTCCCTCTGGTTTTCCCGGTGGCGGTAGATTCTTCTCCAAGTAAACATTCCAGTTCCCTCCCCCCTCTCTGCCACCGTTTCTCAGAAGTGACTCGGTTGTTTTATTTTTGCACACGAGGATTTTGATGGGGACTGTTATGCCCAGAGGCGCCTGTCAGGAGGCAGTCACTCCTACGGGGGAGAGTCGCCCCGCCTGTCCCCCTGCAGCAGCATCGGCAAGCTCAGCAGGTCTGACGAGCAGCTGTCCTCTCTGGACAGGGACAGCGGGCAGTGCTCCCGGAACACAAGCTGTGAAACACTAGGTGAGCTGCCGGCGTCGTCACCCTCCTGTCTCATCGTCTGGTGGCTTCTTCGGGGTCATGTGGCGATGCCTGGGCCTCAGTTTCCTCACCTGCACATGAGGGTACCAAAACCTGTCTCTGGAGGAGGTTGGAAGTTGAGATGAAGTAACGATGTAAAGATATGAACCCTGGGGAGATGCTCCCGTGTCGCTGTTACTACAGCTAATCTGTCGCTGTGCAATTTGACTCCCTTTGCCAAAATTAAGAACCATCTGTGCTCCGAGCTGTAAGCGAAGGAAGCCCCTGAGAGCTCTGACGGGGGAGGCAGCTGAGCGGCTGCGCCCTCGTTGGTGCTGACCTCCTGCAGCGTGGGCCGGGGAAAGTCTGAAAGGCAGTTGGGTGTGCGGCTGAGAGCATCAGCCGCTCGTGTCCGTGAACTGGAGATCTCACTTCGGAGAGTTCACCTCCAGAACATAATCAGATTGACAACAAGGTTGCTGTCCAGGGACGTTGATCTCGGCAATATTAGGACCAGTGATTGCTGGAAATATCTGACTATTTTTTTTATAAAAAGGGTTAGGAAATCAGGCAAATTATGATAAAGTGATTTGGTGGAATGATATACAGCTATTAAAAATCAATTGTGATCTATTGATCAGTGGACAAAATCCTAGACCACTTACACAGTTCAGTGAAAGAAAAAAGAATTCGGTGGGGAGGGGCCTTTTGAGGAAATACATCAGATTGTAAGCAGGTTACAGTTAGATTGCGGGACTTCGGGTGGTTTTTGACATTTGCCACATTTTCTGTAGTGATCGTGCATTTTCTTTTTATTTTTTAATCTTCACCCAAGGATATATTTTTTTTAGTTTAGGGGGAGAGAGAGAGAGAGAGAGAGAGAGAGAGAAAGAAACATCAATCAAGTTGCCTCTCCTATGCACCCCAACCAGGGATTGAACCTAAAGCCTAGGTATGTGCCCTGACCAGGAATCGAACCGATGACCTTGGTGCACGGGATAGTTGCTCAACCAACAGAGCCACCCAGCCACAGAGCATTTTCTTTTTAACTCAGAAATTCAAAAAATACAGGAAAAAATAAAGGACAGTAGTCATATTCCCATCTGTTTTTGTTACAAGCAGTGAGAAGAATGGAAAATATAAAAGAAAGCATGGGCCTGTCTAGAGGAGACGGGAGACACGTTTTTTGTCGCGCTTTACTGAACAGGACTGGGCAACAGCGGGGGGTGGGGTCCTTTCTTTCTGTGGGGTCTTGTGGCTGACAGGTGTGTCTTTCCTGTTGTGAATGCAGATCATTATGATCCTGACTACGAATTCCTTCAGCAAGACCTCTCCAACGCAGACCAGATACCTCAGCAAGTGGCCTGTAACCTTAGCCCGTTGCCGGAGGCCTTGGGAGAGTCTGGGTCTCCATTTCTTGGCCATCCTTTCCAGTTGCCTCTTGGCAACTGCCCCCAGCCAGATGGGCCCTTAGCCCCAGGGCAGCAGACGGACACGCCGCCTGCCCTCCCCGAGAAGAAGCGCAGGAGTGCGGCCTCCCAGACCTCGGACAGCTCTGGCTCCCGCGTGTCCTACGAGCGGCACCCCTCCCAATACGACAACATCTCCGAGGACGACCTGCAGAACCCAGCCTTGGTGCAGCCCGCCCCCTTCACGCCCTTTGCTGCTATTCTCCCCTTCCAGCAAGGAGGGTCCTCAGCCTCTGTCGAATTTGTGAGTGACTTCACTGCTCCTGAATCAGCGGGTGACCCAGAAAAACCGCCTCCTCTACCAGAGAAGAAAAACAAACACAGTAAGCCTTGTCGAGCTGTCAGGAGGCACATTTTGTCACCTAAATTGGTGGTATGTTATGTGTAATTAGACCAGAACCAAACCACTGGGTTCATAAGTTCATAAAAGGTAGAACACAGGTACGTGGGCACTTCTGGGAGCCTTGTTATGTCACTTCAGTACTGGTGATTGATTGTAAAGCCTCGGAGGCTGACCTTTTTATGGCTCCTGTACAATCTCAGGCCTGGTCTCCAGGAATTTGGCCTCTTGTAGATGGAAGTCAGTTGACCTCCTGGCCTGAATACATGGTGACAAAGAGAAACAAGTGTCGGGGGATTCAGGGCACCATTGCAGCAAGATGTGGGTGAAGCGGGAAGGCATGTGAATGTCAGGAGACTTCCTGCAGCCCCAGAGGGACTCTCTCAGGGTCCCTGAATGGACCAGTTATTATAATATACTAGAGGCCCGATGCATGGCTGCCTCTGCCTCTGCCTCGGCTCGCCCCCCCCCACCCCCACCCCCCAGAAGGTCATCTGGTCTAATTAGCATATTACGCTTTTATTATTATAGATGATGTTATTGGGGCCCAGGGGTGGGCCTGAAATTGTCCTCTGCCCTCTCCGCCTCGCCCCCCCCACTCCCACCCCCCAGAAGGTCATCTGGTCTAATTAGCATATTACGCTTTTATTATTATAGATGATGTTATTGGGGCCCAGGGGTGGGCCTGAAATTGTGGTCATATTTTGAATATTTCAACTGTGTATTTGCCATCATACTAAGTAGAGTTCCACTGGACATTGTCTTTTCTGCTGGTTCCCCACTGCTCCACGCCGCCTGTCTGCCTCCTGAGCCCTTCCCACTTCACTGGCACAGCTCTGCTCCGTTTTTCCTGGCAGCCTGCTGTCACCATTTAGATGTGTGTGTGGCCACGTCAGCCCCACACAGGGTTCCCTGGCCTCAGGTGCCAGATCCAGCAGACAGCGTCTGCATTGCAGGTTCCCCAGGTTGGGCCCCTCTCAGACAAGAGGAGATCTGGCCCGGTTAGCCCCAGCAGGACTGACCCAGGGGCCACGGGAAGGAGGGCCCACCGAGGATGGATTGTGTACGTTGCCTCGTTAGAAACCAGGGCCCTTAGGAGGAAGCTGCAGATGGCAGCACCAGGAACATGACCTCCTTCACCTCCCTCCGCAGAGCGTCTCAGAGCTGTTGGCCCTCCGCTCCCCCACCTTCCCTTATCTTGAGCAGCATGCCGATTGGGACTCACACCTTTCCTTTCCTTTTCTGGAATCCTTTGAACCCAGAACTCAGGGCAGGATTGCATCTGTGCAAACCGCATGCTTGGTGCTACCTGGCCGAGGAGCCAGGACCACCCTGCCGGCCTTCAGGACAGGTGCAGGCGGCAGTCCTGTGGGGTGGTGAGAGGGAAGGGAGGGAGAGGTAGCCACTGTTTTCTTAGAACAAGCAATTGTCCGGCAATGTTTCCATTAACTTAGGCTTCGTTTTACGCATCAATGTCTGTAGAGCTTGTGCCTGCAAACCTGTCGAACCTGCTGAGAGCTTGCGGGGTCTGGGCTAAAGCTCCACACGCCTGCATACGGCTCCTTACTGCACCCTGGCCGGAGGGGGGTCACGAGCTTCCGTTTTATAGATGAAGAACCCGGATCCCCGAGGAACTGAGCCTTGCCCAAGATCTGGGCTGCAGAGCAGGCCTGTGCTCCCATCGCGGTGCCCTGCTCCCACTCTGACAGGCAGGGAGTCCCTCCTCGCTGAGACCCCGTTCAGGTGGTGACTTCATGCAGCAGGTCGTCTTTTCTGGGCCCTGTGAAAGGACCCCAAAGGACTTGCAGCTCTCTAGGGCTTGGTCTTTCACTTCCCCAGGGGCCCTCTGCCAGCTCCAGCCTGCAGCTCGTCACAGTAGCTGAAGGAGAGGAGGAAGTAACCGTCCTTAGGTTTGTGATGCAGGCAGAGCTCAGCCACACGCAGTCCCGTGTCACAGAGCAGCCTCGTCCTTCAGGTGCGCTGATGTCCCCAGGGTGCCCAGCCCCTTTTGATGAGGGCAGCCCCACAAGGCCCTTGTGCCTGTCTGCCCACGATCCCGGGTGCCGCTGGAGTGCCAGCCTGCCAGCCTGCCCCGGGAAGCGGGCCACTCTGTCAGGGAGCCCTAATACCAGGCTGCCTTAGAAATGGACTGGCAGGTAGTCGGCGTCACTGCTGTTGCTCTGTGCTTGGTCACAGGAGGTCACGTCTCATCCAGGTTTCCCTCGTGGCCAGGTGGTGGTGGTCAGTCCTCTTAGGGAGCAAGTGGGCGAGACCTTCGTAGACCCCAGAGGAGTTGGTTGTGCAGCCGCGGCAGCTGTCTTTCGGGGGAGGAGGTGTCTGCCTGCCCGCCTTTGACAACCAAGTTCCACACGGTGCTTGTGGGAGCTAAGGCGTTCTTATTGGTCCTTTTAAATAAAGAAGGTGACTGCCAGAAAGACACACCTCGAGAGAAGTTCCTGTCTACCTTAACCCAAAAGGATGCAGAGAAGAGCAAGGCCGCCTCGCTGCCTTTGCGCCTGCTTTCTTCAGCTCAGGGTCTAGATCAGTGGTTCTCAACCTTCTGGCCCTTTAAATACAGTTCCTCATGTTGTGATCCAACTATAAAGTTATTTTCGTTGCTACTTCATAACTGTGATGTTGCTACTGTTATGAATCATAATGTAAATATCTGATACGCAGGATGGTCTTAGGCGACCCCAGTGAAAGGGTGGTTCGACCGCCAAAGGGGTTGCGACCCACAGGTTGAGAACTGCTGGTCTAGATCCTTTGGTTTGCTGACTGGTTTGGGTCTCCAGTTAAGCCCTGACTTTGTAGTTGTTTGAAATTACAAAATTAAGCTCTACAAAGTTGTCCTTGCCACTTTTTCCTGGTATCTGAATCTCAGCTCCGCCTAGCACGTGCTCATGGCACTTGTGACGGGACCCAAGGGGAAGCACCCACTCAGGATGGTGACTTGGATCTGCCACCCCTTCGCCTGCCGCACAGGGACTTAGGTTCCTTTTCTTTCCAGCTCTCACTGCCACTTCAACTCCCCTTAGTGTGCGTGCAGCAACTCTGCAGGTAAATTTATTAGTGTGTCCCGGGCAAGGGGCATAACAGTGCCTTTCCCTGCAAACATTGGACACGCATGTGTAGAGCATATCCTGACACCTGAGCACTGCCCCAGCTACCTGGACAAGGGGAAAGGTGCTGCAGGATTTCAGGCTGCCTGACCGAGACTTTGCTGTGGGAACGTCAACTGCAGGATCAGGTCACAGAGGTGGATGGGGATGGGAGAGAGGGCTTCTGCTACAACCCGCCTTCATGGCTTCGTAGGTTTGCCAGGTGTCTGCGCACGTCTGTTCCAAACCGTCGCTTCTCCCAGAAGCCTCTGGAGTCTTCAGAACGGCCTGGCTCTGCAGGTGGGGCTCAGGTCACTAACAGTGAGAGTCAGGAATATAGTGAACACCTTTTACAACCCCCGAGTGAGTCCTGAGGGCTCCGCACCTGCCTCCAGAGAAGGTGCCTCCGAGGATGAGGTCACTGAGATGTGAAGGCTGAGCTCTTTGTTCTCTGACATCTCACCTCCTGCTTGGTGAGGTCCCTGCTATTGTCTGCTTGGAGGTCTCTGTGGGTGCTGTCATGCTGTGCAAGCGAGAGAGCCTGCCCCTGCGGCAGGCAGCTCCACCAAGGGGTAGCAGCGTGGCATCAGATGGCGGTGGTGGCAAGGGCTGGGGTTTCCCAGAGGGTTGTTGGGGGCGGAGGGTGTGTGCATTTGAATCTATGCCCTTTTCTCCCCTCCTCCCCCCAGGGATTTTCTCTAGCCTCAGCTGGAAGGGGAGAGTGGGGTGGCGTTGCTGAGTTTCTTGTATACCCAGTGGGCGCATTACAAGTCCCACCCCAGTGGCTTAGCCTGGCAGTGCTGAGGGACACATGTTCCATTCATTCCTTCATTCTACAAATGCTGCGTCCAGACACCTACTGTGTGTCAGCCACTAGTAATATGGCCACTCTGGCTGGAGTGAGAGGCAGCAATCCTGTAGCATCTGCTTTGAAAATGCGCCATGAACCAGACCTCTCAGCACCTCACCCCCACGGGGACCTTTCACTGAACAACCTCAGCAGCCCCGATGGTCTTCACAAGACAAAGCAGACGCGGGCGCCCCGGGCCCCCGTGGGTCCTGCCCATTCACACAGCCCCGCCCCGCCTGGGGATGGGCTCACCGCCTTCCCTGTCCCCTGGACAGCTGTGTGCTGCCCTCCTGGACCCGTGCCCCTCCGGCCCTTGCCTGGCCTGTGCCCTCTGTGTGGAGGGCTCCTTGCCATCTCATAGAGCTCATCCATATTCTAGACAGGCACCCCCTTGCCACCCACTTCTCAGTTCTCCAGGGTCTGGGTGCTGTCTCCTGGAGGGGTGAGCCCCCATGGGCAGAGGATTTGTTTTGCTAGCCTCTTAGTCCCAGTACCTGCGTCAGTGCCTAACCATAGTAGGTGTTCAGTAACAATCTGGTGAATGATAAAAGCCCCAGGTAGCATGACCCCTGTGAGGAGAGCTAAGAAGGAAACGAATGAGGGGCAAGGTGGGCTGCTATGTGAGCAGGGCTGGGGAAGCTGCCGTTAGCTGGGCGCAGAGGAGGGTAAGACCCAGAGGGTGGGGGAAGCGCGTGGGAGCAGCGGGGCAGAACCCCTGAGGGTGTTCCCGGGACTGAAAGGAGACGGCAGAGCTGGGCTGAGGTGGACAGCTGTGCTGCCCCAGGACCTCCACCAGCCCGTGCCCCTCGAGTGCCTGGACATCCCAAGGGCTCTGCAGCAAGGGGACCAGTGCCCCAATGTGCTTTGTAAAAAACAGGCTTTATTTCTTAGAGCAGTTCGAGACTCACAGCGCTGAGCGGAAAGTAGAGAGTTCCCGTTGATCCCTGCCCCATCGGCCTGTCCACTGTCACCTTCTCCACCAGAACGCCCCGTTGGTGACGTCAGTGAACCTGCACTGACGTGTCTTTGTCGCCCAGAGCCCACAGCTGGGGGGCTCCCTCTTGGCGTCCACTCGCTGCATTTGCACGCGTGTGCCCCCATGTCACACAGAGTGGTCTCACTGCCCCGCTGCTGGGAGAGGGGGGCCCTCCTGCAGCTCGCCCCCCGGTGCCAGAACCAGGACTGCCGCTCTCTGTCCGCAGTGCTGGCCTACATGCAGCTGCTCGAGGACTACTCGGAGCCGCAGCCGTCCATGTTCTACCAGACGCCGCAGAACGAGCACGTCTACCAGCAGAAGAACAAGATGCTCATGGAGGTGTACGGCTTCAACGACTCCTTCAGCAGCGCAGACCCGCCGGACCTGGCGCCGCCCCCCGCCCTCCCTCCCAAGCAGCGGCAGCTGGTAAGCGGCCCCTCCCAGGTCCCCTCCCTGCTGCCAGGGCAACAGGCCTCCAGGAACCAGAAGCACCTCCTCCTCCTCCTCCTCGGGGCAGGGGCCTGGGCTGGTGTGGAACCCCCATCTCCCGCGTGGGGCTCTCACTTCCCCTGCGCAGCTCCCGTGCAGCCTGTCTCCTCTGCTGCTCCCCACCTGGGGGTGGGGGTTCCTTTCCTTCCTGAGCAGCCCATGCAGCTGGGACTGGCTTGAACTCAGAATGTTGCTTTCTCTGCTACAGTCTCTTGCATTTTTTTCTCTCTTCTTTGGCTCCAATATAGACTCCCAGAAAAGAGGGACTCAGAGCACAGGGTATGGTCTGTGTAGAGCCATCTGTGGCCGATTTACATAATGGGCCTAACTAGACAGTGACTTACTCCTCCCCCCCCCCGCCCCTCCCCCCAGGCCGGCCAGGGATGCCCATTGGAGCAGGATGGCTTTAAATAGAGCCATGCTGTCGGGCATGGCACCTTCCTCCTCTAAAGAACACCGTGTAAGGCTCCACGCAGGCCGTGGAGCTCAGCTCTGCACGGGCAGGCTGTCCTGGTAGGCTCGGCCAGGCAGGAGAGCACATGGGTGTGCCTGCTGCGTGCCTCTAACCTTCTCTTAGCTGCCAGTTTACTAGCCAAGCGGACTCTGGTCAGGCACTAGAACCCAAGCGTCCTGCCCAGCCACGCTGTCCAGAAGAGCACCCCGCAAAGGGCGGTCTCGTGCTGTTTTGCCCATTTGCTGACCTGTCTGGTAGTGTTTTAACAAAGAGGGGGCCGGGGTGACCAGCTGGGCCATCCTCTGTCCATCGCCAGAGGCCCTGACGGTGCTGCCTTGACTTTTCTGGGAGGCAGCTGCCAACTGTAGGACAGAGGTCCTGGGTCACTCCTCCCAGCCACATGGGGCTCGGCAGTTCTGTGCTTGGGGCTTGAACCCACACCCAGCCCTAGGGGTCCCCAAGCCCTCCCAGCTGAGGAGGCTCCGGCAGACCAGACAGAACCACAGCCAGCATTTTGGGAAACAGCCTGTCTACTGGAGGAAAGGCCAAGCTTGGAGTTGGGAGTCCTGGGTTCCAATCCTGCCATTAACTAGCCATGATCACAGGTTGTGCTCAGAGTCTCAGTTCTTTACTGTCCTGCCCATCCCATGAGCGCCTGAACATGCCAGAATATGAATGTAATTGCTCTGAAAATCTTTCAGGAAGGGACCTTCTCCGCGGGAACATAAACACTGCCCCAGAGACCCTAACCTAAATGTTTGCTTAAACGTCTGGGCCAAATTTCATTGAGATTTGAAATCCGGCCCCTCTGCAGTGTCCACAGCTGCCCATCATTGTCCTTGGGCATCTTCTCTGTACCGTGGAGCCACAGGCTTCCGGGTGTTTGGGGACAGACCCCTAATGAGCACTCTAGGAGCCAGCCTGCCTGTCAGAGAGCTCCCAACCTCGCCTCGCTGGCAGGGCGTCCTGAGGGGAGCCCGGAGAGAGCCTGGCAGGGTCCGGGAACTGGGCAGACTCCACTAGAGCACCTCCACACACGGGGGCTTTCGTGTGGTTTCACATGATCCTCCCCCAGCCCGTCACCCCACTTCCAGTAACCTGAGGCTGCGAGCCGGAGAGACTTCCGCATAGCCCACCGCTAGAAGCAGAAGAGTTGGGGACAGCTCCCAGGCACATGTGTGACGCCCTCTGCAGGCTGCTCGGCACACCCTCTCTCAAATGCAGACTCAGGAAGTGTTACCCACTTTACTCACAAAAATGGGAATAATAAGTATTCAGGCCTGTTGGCACGCGTACACTGTGGAGGGCATGGTTCTAAGTGTTTACGTGGATATAGCCCTCCAAGGTGTTATCCCTATCTTTCCAGATGAAAAGCCTGAGGCCCAGGGAACTTTAAGTAATACCCAAGGTCTTCCTTAAATGGCAGGGCCCAGATCCAAACCCAGGCAGCCCAGCTTGATCTACACTCCGCTGAAGTACAAATAAGTCCATGGTCTACCCCACCAAGGAGGGCTGGGGGCCCTGAGTAAGTGGGAAAAGGGACTCAAACGCAGTAGGCCTCTCTTCCCCCTCGCCCCACTTCCAGGAGACACAGTGTGTGAAAGTTAGCTTTACATCGATCGGAAGGAAGTGAAGGAGGGGCCAGGAGCCTTGGAAGGTCTCTGATCCCCAAACTGAGCCAAGAAGCCTCCCTCTCCAGAATGTCCGAGCGGAGTGGGGTTGCAGCCTACTTAGCCTTTGTGCATACATGCCTGACTGTTCTCTGCTTTTCTCCCTCCTTCCCATCTTCTCTCTCGTCCCTCTCTCTGTCCAGCAGGCCTCTTATGCTGCTTCTTCCTTCTCCTCTGTCTCCTACTGTGTCCAGCAAACTAAAGTGGCCTTCACCCCCGAGGACGGCAGTGCCACTCAGGGCATCAGTGTGTCCGTCTCTAACTCCTTTCTCAGCCGGCACGGCAACTTGCCCGTGCCCTCGGTGAGTGCTCCCTGCCGCTCTTTACTCGGAAATGGTGGATGTGGTCTTCCATTTGTAGCCAGTGCCCTCCCGACGTGTGTGCCGCTGCTCATCGCGGACTTTGCCCTTCTGCAGATCCCTGCACCGGATGGGGTAGGGGATGCGGGGATGGGTCTCTGTGCTCGAGGACCGTGTGAATGGGGGAGGGGGGTGCGGGGATGGGCAATGGTGGCGGCCACACTTGCAGCCATATCACTCAGGCATCGCCTGCAGAGACGTTCTGGCCTTTTTGTTAAACGGGAATATTCCTCACAAAGGAAGCAAAGCCCAGGAGAGCAGGCTCTGCCAGGGCATGAGAGAGTTGGAGTTGGAGGGCTGTGTCAGTTAGCTTTTGCTGTGTAACAAACTACCCCAAAACGTAGTGGCTTCAAACAGCCGTGACCATTTCTCATTGCTGAGAACACAGGTTGGGAGGGCGATGGTACTGATCTGGCCCAGGCTGACGTTGGCTGGACTTGCTCGCATCCCTGGAGCCTCAGCTGGGACAGCTGGGCTGACCGCCATCCACACCTTCCATCAGCCTCCATCAGGCCCGCCTGGGCTTGTCCAGGGCAGCTGGCAAGGTTCCCAGGGAACAAATGGAAGCGTGGAAGGTATCTTAAGACCTGGCGCAGACCTGGCACTCGGCCACTTCCACTGCATTCTCTCGGTTCAGCCACAGGGCCAGCCCGGATTCCGGGAATAGGGAAGTGGATGTGCCTCTTGGTGGCAGTTGCTGGCAGAGGGGATATTTGCAGCCATTTTTGTAAATAGTATCCTTCCGAGACTTAGGGACACCGGCTCCTTAGGAAGCATAGTGTTGTCTTTCACTGGAATCCACATCTGTCCAAAAACCTGAACAGCCGCCGTTCCCCTTCAGTCTGCACCCGTGAAACTGGGGGGCGGGCGGGGGCCTGGGGGACAGACTTAGGGAAGGAGCCACGTTCGGGTCCCTGCAGTCAGCTGCTCCTTGCGCGTTGTTCGTCCTCCCGCCTCCGTCTCCTCCCTGCGTGAGGATTCACACGGTGAGCTTCGGGAGTCCTTCCTGCTGCCCTTGGCTTAGGGCTCGGAGTCCAGTCTTGGCTCTGCTCTGAGTCTCACATGAGAGCGCGGGCAAACGCCTAAACCTGCTGGGACCGCCCTCTCCTCTAACTGCGGTTGCCCCCGGGACCTTCCGAGACCTAGCCAAGCTCAGGGTCCCAGTGTGGTGGTTCCCAGGCTGCATTGCTGGGCACCGTCCAGTGCCTGTTGTGAGGACCTTGGGGTGCAGTCTTCCTCTGGGTGCCAGGGCCTAGCTCGCAGAGCTCTCCGTGTTCCTGCACTTGCCATGGAGAGGGAACACCCCCCCCCCCCACCCCCCGGCCTGTGCACAGACGCCCTCTGTTTCCGTAGCAGGCACTCTGGCAGGCTCCTTTCACAGATCGTGCAAAACTTGGCCCTCAGACAATCCCAGCTCTTGACTGTATTTGCCCTCTATGAACAGAAAGTAAGTGTGGATTATCCTAAGAGTATCTACAAGGTCCCTTTTGAGCAGTTTGGGGTTCCAGGGCTGTCAATGCACTGGACTGTTTGCTATGGCATGAAAGGAAATAGGAGGGTGTTTTAACTAAGTTTGGGTCTGAGGGAGGCTGAGGCATCAGCATCAGAAATATACGAGGTGCTCAGCACCAGCTCCAAGAGGAGCCCAGGGAATGAGCTAAGGAAGGCCACCCCGCCCCAGGCTCCGGAGCCGTGGGCGTGGCCTGAATGTCTGGAACACTCTTCACGTGTCCTCTCCACTCTAAGAGGAGCCCCAGACAGAGGGCTCGGCATTGCTCAGAGTGGCCCTTTATTCCCGACTTTCTTCATCCCTTGGTCATCAGTCTAGTGTGGGATTCCGAAGGGTGCCACTTGGAACACAGCGTGGTCAGATCTAAAGGCAGCTCACACTGTCCTTGGCCCAGTGACCTGCCACTTCAATCAGAAGATTCTAACCATCGAAAACCACTTTGCCAAGGGAATTTATAGACCATAAACCTCTATGGACCGATTTAAATGGAGGTGGGCGCTGGAAACACATTGCTGTTCCCTCTTCCTGGGACCCCCGAGCACAGGGCCTCTCCTGGCGTGGGCCGGGCAGCGCCATCGTCCTTGTAGGGTTAAAGGGAAAGCACACGTGTGAAGAGTGTAACTTAGTACCAGACGCGCTGCCGGCATTTGGTAAAGAGGGAGGTGTTACAACTGTTTATTATCACACTGAGAGGCTGCTTCCTTTCGGTTGTAGTCCCGGCTGCTTTCCTCAAGACTGTAAGTCCTGTAAGGTTAGGGCCTGGACTTTACATGCTTGCAGGCGTGGTACAGAGCTCAGCGCGGAGCAGCAGTGGCAGGTGCTCCGTGGTGCTGACCCAACCCAGAGGACCTGCTTCACCCGCAAGCATGAGCCCTGACCAAGGAGGCCAGCAGGGCTCTCCTGACCCCATCACCCTGCTTCCCAGCATCTCATCAGAACAAGCCACTGCTGACTCGTTACATGACGGCCTCAGTTCCCATGAATCAGACACACTGCCCAGGCTGTGGCCAGGAACCCTGCTTCTTCCTCATTTCCCTCCGCTGACCCAAGAGGCTTTGGCTGCCAGCTGCCCGAGAGTTTTACAAATAGTTCCTGTCTGCTGGGCTCCTCGGAGTGCTCGCCCGGGGCCTTAACGCCCTTCCTGCCAATGCCTGCTTGTGTGGCCAACGGTGCCTCTGACGTGTGAAGTCTGATTTGGGCTCCATCCCACAGGGAGCCTTGACACAGCCTTGGGGAAGGAGGTGCATGCAGACCAGCACCCCTCCTGGGTTTCCGAGACCCTCAGGGACCACCTGAGCCCAGGGGCCCAACTGTTAGACTCCTGCCTCTTTTGTTAATGCTCAAGGCACTTTGGGTGGTCAGTGCTCTCGGACCAGCTTCGGACACAAGTGCTGCAGGGGACTTGTGGCTCCATGACAGCTTGGCCAGGTGCCGCCCCGGTCCTCAGAAAGGTTATGTGGGACGTGAGCCCTAAGGGTTCTGTCCACACACACTTGCCTCTACTCTCATGCTCTCCAGCGGCCTGTCGACCTGTCAGGGCCCTTCCTGCCGCTCTGTGATGGAACACTTGCCCACATTGCAGAGATGCAGACGCCAGAATGGAGAAGCCGAGCCATTTGCTCAGAGCTTAAGTAAGAGCTAAGGTTAGACTCCAGGTCTCCATCGTGAGAAATCGTGTTGACGTTTACGCAGTGCTGATTTGCATTCAATATTGAGACCTGGGAGGGCTGGGTGAGAAGAAAAGTCCACACATCGGCTACCATCAGAAGGCCTTGGTGGTGCCCTCCCTCCTGGGAGCACGCGCACACCTTCCTTCCCTCAGCTGCATCTCCTGAACTGAGGGTCCTCGAGAGACTTGCAGCCAGGGGAGCAGTGGGCAGCGGCAGCTCGTCCGGGGCTAACCCGCTGATCCTGTCTCCAAGGCCCCTCTTCTCTGACTGCTCAGTGAGCCAAAGCGGCCCAGCGGGGCCCTCTTGCTGCTTCTCTCCTAAGCCCTTCCTCGCTCCACTGTCCCAGCTTTAACAAACGGAGCCTCAAAATCAAAAGGAAAGAAGAGGCCTTCGTGTGCGTGTGTGTCCCTCCAGGCTCTGGATAGAGCTCTAGGAATAAGTGGAAGTTAGGGCCCCTGCATGCTGTTCAAACCCAAACTGAGGGAAATAGTCCAGTCAGATTTCTAGAAATGAATGCAAGTCCTTTTTTAAACGGTAGTAAACCTTTCTGTAAGGAGTGGTGCTGTTGAGGTCAGTCTTCAGTGACTGCAGAGCGCCCTCCAGTGTGTTGGAGGTTTTTGCACAAATACAATTAGCCATGAAACCACTGGCCAAAATGTAATGTTTTCAAGGAAGATCTTGTGATTCCGGTTGCAATACTATGTCAGATGAGAAGAAAAGTACTAGGTCTCTACTCTTACCTGTCCTACTACCTAAAATTCTCCCGTGCAAGAGAATTGTGTCCTCTTTCATCCTTTATTATAAAATCCACATTAGAATTTTCCAGTGGTTTTAAAAAATAGACTCCAAGAAGTTTATTTAAAAATAGAAAGGTATGTTCTAACCCCACCACGATTCTGATGCTGGCTTTCTCTGTTAGATGAAGGCAGTGGGACCGACCAGGGCCTCCTTGGCCGGGCAGAGGGGATCTGCAGGTGCTCGCTTCAGCCTCAGCATCTTCCCTTATGGAAAGTGGAGTTGTCATAAATGAACACAGGGGCATCTGGGACAGTGCCCCGGGGCCTAGGGCAGACCCAGGGGATGGCTTTTGCAGATGTGGAGTTAATCAGGACCAGGAAGGAGAGAGGAGACAAAGCCAGCACTCTTCCCTGCAGCCTACCTCCTGGGATGACAAGCAGTGTCATCAAGGGTCCTTCCTGGTGACCTAGACGGGAGCGATCACGTCCCATCTCTGAGAACCAGGTCCACGTGCCTCTCTGCAGGCGTCTCCTCCCTGGAGTTCAGGGAGGGGTTGTGCGACGGCCGCAAGCGGACTTCCTTCCGAGGGAAATAACTTAGGCCCACACTGTGTGGGCACTCGGTGGAGCAATGGGCAGCGGCAGCTCGGAGCCAGTGGCCAGTGCTGAGCTGTGTCCCGGGGGAGAAAGCCCAGACCACACTGCAGCAGCTCCCCTCCAGTGTGTTTTCTCACAAGTGGTGGGCAAGAATCGGAGCCCAAAACCAGCTGTCCAGCAGCTTGTCTGTTTTGCTAAGTAGCATCCAAAAACACTGACACCGTAAGCCTTGCTTGAGCCAGGAGCATGCAGTGATGAGCCATCTCCGTGCACACTTCACGACAGGAAGTCCAGTCGCGCAAGTGATTGCATTTCCTGTAATTGGTGGGGTTGAAAGTTCTCTAAAGCTTGGCACTCAAGTCACTGTGGAGCAGCTGTTCCAAGCAAGGCCCTCTGGCCTGTGGCTCCGGCCCACAGCTGCTGGCACACCCCGGCCTTCTCGGACGCCCTCAGTCTTCCTTGTGTTCAGAGGAACTCAGTGGCATGGCATGTTGGGGGATCAGGGTTTTCCATTGAAAGATCTGCTTTCTTGCCAGCACAACACAGGGCGCCTCCCTGGTCATTTTTCACTCCAGGACTTGAATGGAAAGCAAGTGTCCAGGAAAACTGGTACCCGGCCAGCTTCGGTGACTTTAGGCTGTGAGTGGCCACATGCTAACATGCAAGGTTGTCATCCCTTACACTCAGAGCCCTTGGTCCCCCCAGGTGTGTGTTTTCCAGGGTGGGTGTGGTTCTGGGGTCTCCTGAGGGCAGATCTCTGCATCCTGGCTTTGTAGTCCATCCAGCCAGGCTCACTGCCTTGGCACGCTGGTCATCACAGAAACTCAGCCAGGAGAGCTCGCGTGGTTAGGAGGCTGGTCCTGCAGGGCTGTGGCTGGCAGTCAGGGACTGTCATGTGCTCAGGACACTCGCTGAGTGTGAGCCATCCCCGCACATCGCCCAGGAGCTGAGCCGTGTGGTACAGGTGTGTGGCCTTCCTGCCGCCTGTGGAGCCGTGTGGTACAGGTGTGTGGCCTTCCTGCCGCCTGTGGAGCCGTGTGGTACAGGTGTGTGGCCTTCCTGCCGCCTGTGGAGCCGTGTGGTACAGGTGTGTGGCCTTCCTGCCGCCTGTGGAGCCGTGTGGTACAGGTGTGTGGCCTTCCTGCCGCCTGTGGAGCCGTGTGGTACAGGTGTGTGGCCTTCCTGCCGCCTGTGGAGCCGTGTGGTACAGGTGTGTGGCCTTCCTGCCGCCTGTGGAGCCGTGTGGTACAGGTGTGTGGCCTTCCTGCCGCCTGTGGAGCCGTGTGGTACAGGTGTGTGGCCTTCCTGCCGCCTGTGGAGCCGTGTGGTACAGGTGTGTGGCCTTCCTGCCGCCTGTGGAGCCGTGTGGTACAGGTGTGTGGCCTTCCTGCCGCCTGTGGAGCCGTGTGGTACAGGTGTGTGGCGGCCTTCCTGCCTGTGGAGCCGTGTGGTACAGGTGTGTGGCCTTCCTGCCGCCTGTGGAGCCATGTGGTACAGGGGTGTGGCCTATCCTGCTGCCTGTGGAGCCATGTGGTACAGGGGTGTGGCCTTCCCTGCCGCCTGCTTCTTCCTCTTTGTCGTCGGGACCAGACCGCACTTCATGTAGTTTAAGTGAGATGGTTCATGCAGAACCTTGGGCACCCATCTGACCACCAGGGAGCATTCAGCAAGAGGAGCTGTCATCATCATCATGAGATAGTCCATGTGGCCCTTTGAGGGACTGTGTGATGGGGGGGGAGATGGTGCCCCCTCTCCTAACGGCGCTCCTTCCCAAGAACTGGCTCTGGCGCTCTAGCTCTGCAGAAACCTCCGGTCCAGAAGGCAGCCACCTCTGTTTTAGACCCTCAGCCCCGCCAGTCTGCGCGGCTATAAATAAAGCTGCTGTGGAGAGGCAGCCGTCCCGTCAGAGGCAAGGCCGGGCACCAGCCAGACCCTAAAATAAACTTGGGGCTCTGCTGAAGTGGTGTTTCTGTCCAGCGGCCAGCTCCGCCTCTCTCCCTGCTCGCATGAGTAAATAGGATCGTGCAGGGCCTGGAAATACTCCGGCGAGGCCGGAGAGACCAGGCTTGTTGAAAATGGTCTGATGATGAGCCCCGACGTGGCCCTCATGTCTGCAGAGCCCCTGGAGAGGCCTGAGCTTTCTGGTGATTAGAGAGCAGCCCCTTGCAGCTCTCCGCCCCCAGAAGGTACTCCTCCAGCTTGGCTCCTGTCCTAACAGGACTGCATAGCTTGAATACCAGAGCTGCGCAGGAGCCCGAGGGAAGGAGGGAGGGACAGAGGGAAGGAGGGCAGGAGGGTGGGCACTTAGTCCTGGAGATGCGAACCTCCCCCCTTTCTCCTTGGTGGCTGTCCCTCCCCTGCAGTGCCCGCCCTGGTGCGGCCGGAGCCTCCTTCCCCAGCTCCCTCTGTGGGCCTGCACCTGGGCAGCGCCTGATGCTTGTCTGCTACCCTCCACCCAAAATTGAGACACTGTGGAGTCAGGCAGTGTTCCAGCGCTCCAGGAATAACGTGAGAAGCAATCCCTAAGTCTTCCTCCATCCAGTACATCTGCTTGGCCCTGTTACATGCCTCAGCTCTGCTGTGTGCAGTGGTTCCCAGGTTGGCATTGGGAGGGCAAGGGAGGACAGTGACGTGGATCGGGTGCTTGTCACAGGCCAGGCCGAGCTCAGCACTCACAGGGCGTCACCATTAAATCCACACAGAGCCTGTGGCAGAAGTGCCATTGTTTCATCCCAGGTGCATGTGGCTTGAAAGTGTGCCCTCCGAGCCGCCACCCTGAGCTTGTCACATGAGACCTGTGTAACAGGCCACATGATCAGTTAGGAAGCGTGATGCGTTGTGATCACACAGTAACTGTCATGTAAGTCGAGCTCGTGTGGCAGGGCCTGCTCAGTGATCATTGCTCAGTGAGCTTGCAGGGGTGGGGTCAGGAAGGACAGTGTCAGGACTCTAGCAAGAGCTGGCCTTTTTGTCTCGGTCCTTCCGGCTGCTATTTGTTAACAAAACACCACAGACTGGGTGGCTTGTCAGCAACAGAAATGTGTTCTCACAGTTTGGGAGCTGAAAGTCCAAGATCAGGGTGCCAGCATGGTCGGTGAGGACCCTCCAGGCCCCAGACTTTTCACTGTATCTTCATGTGACAGAAGGGCCAGCCTCTCTCTGGAGCCTTTTTTTTTTTTAATTGATTTTAGAGAGATCGGTCAACTTGTTGTCCCACTTATTGATGCATTCATTGGTTGATTCTTGTATGTGCCCTGACCGGGGATCAAACCCACAACCTTGGTGTATCAGGACGACCCTCTGACCCACTGCACTAGCCGGCCAGGGCTCTCTGGAACTTCTTGAGCGCGCTGTGGCCACTCAGGCTCCACAGCCATCAGCGCGAGAGCCCCTGGGCTGGGGTGCGGTAGTATTTGACTTTCAAGGGATAAGTCCAAAGAGGTTTACTTACCCAAAAGGTTCAACATGAGTCAGTATGACCCGGTATCTGACCGTGATGTTGAGCTTAGCCACCAGGTTCCTGAAGGACCGGAGACATCAGTTGGGAGAGTGACAGCAGAGGACGTGACCGCCTTACAGAGCGGGACCTGCTGTCCTTGGGGCGTCCTGCCATGGAGACCCTGAGGACAGCGCTGGTCAGCCTCCAGGCCTCTCATGGGAGGATGCCCAAGGGGGAAGGGGGTTGGCGGGGGGGGCGGTACTAGGCCAGAGGACCCGGGGCTGGTTGGGCCTGGTCCGGGGCCTCCACGGAATTACTGTGAGCAGCCTGTCAGCTCCGCTGAGTTAATCTAATGACTTTCTCTCTTGTCTGTTTTCTTCTTCCCATCTCCTCGTTTGTGTTTGTTTTCCCTTGGATTCTCTAGTATAAATCTGTGTTTAGGTCCTACTCCCAGGATTTCGTGCCTCACAGCCAAGCTTCCGCACAACCTTTCCTCCCGTCTACCTCCTCTTCCTCTCCACACTTCCCACCTGTCCACCAGTCTCAGAGCTCGGACTTAGCGCGGCCCGCCGAGGCCACTCTGCCTCCCAGCGCCGCGGACGGGCCTCCTCCGTCTTCTCAGGAGAGCACCTTTCATGGGAGCACTGTCTGCCTTCCTTCCGAAACCTCTCTCCCTGCCTCGCCCCAGACGCCTTCGGTGAGAACTCCGCACACCCGTGCGGGCTGCGTGTGTGAGAAAGCGGTGTCGCTGCTCAGGAAACCTCCTCCGCTCGCGGTCAGGTGTGGGCAGCACGGCTAGTGCAGGTCCCGAGGCGGGCAGCCTCCTACAGAGATCCCGACACCGGGGCTCTGAGTTTCCGCACGTGGGGCTGCGGCCACTGAGAGGCGGTCCGTGATAGTGAGCACGAGGTAGAGGACGTGGCTCGTTTTCTGTTTGACTGATGGTTAGAGGAAGGCGCAGAGATCACAGACGTGCGTGCCTCTGGCTGTGTGCGGTCTGAGTGCAGGGCCTGCTCTCCTGCGCTGGCCACGGGATGTGACCTTCCTCCGGGCAGGCAGGCAGGGCATCTTCACGGCTGCCTCTTTCCCTCCATTATTCCTCCCCCACGCTGGGGACCCTGCTGTCCCCACCACGGCAGAGTGGGGAGGTGCGCCTCTGAGGGCAGTGAATGGCCCGGGCCTCTTGGGAGAAGATCCCGCAGGAGGCGTGTGTCCCGTGGACACCAGCATGAGGTGGCCAGGCAGCTTTGCTCTGACCTGCGTGCACGCGGCCACCGTCTCCTCTCCCGTGGAAGGAGGTCCCGGCTGGGCTCCCGCAGGCTGCCCGCTGGGCCCGAGGCCGGCTGGAGGCCGTCACATGTGCTTTCCTCTCGTCCTTCTCCCCAGAGTGAAAACGCCAGTGAGGAGGCTGGTGGGGGTGAATACGTCAGTCTGTACTCCTCTGGCCAGAGCAGCGCGGAGCTGGCTCACTCTCGAGGAGTAAGTAGCCTCGGGCTGCCTTGTGCATGCGGCCGCCTGGCAGGACTTGGCCCAGCTTCTGTCTGGCTGTGCCTCTTGGTCATCAGCAGGCCGGGCCCCGTGGGAGAGGACGTGGCTTCTGTGTAGGTCTTCCCGTGGCTTCCGCTTCCGTGCATGTGGCACTCCTCGAACCGAGCTGGTGGGTCTTCTGGAATCTGTGGGGCCGCCTGCTGATGGCCTGGCCACGTCCGTGTGCTCTTGGGACTTCCTTCAGTCCCATCTTCTAGTGTTGAGGCCCACCCTCCATCCCTCTCCCACAGGGAGGCTCTCTCCCCACACGGAGCCTTCCACACTGTCACCCAGCACCCCCTTCACCCCTTTGCCAGCTGCTCCCCCGGCAGCGGTGAGTCTAGCAGGGAGCCCTGCTGTGCCTCTGCGCGCCTCCCTCCTGAGGACCACCTGACACGGCCATGTTCTACCGCTGTCCCCGCTCCCGTCGACCAGGCTCAACAGTTCCGTCGGGGAGTCAGCTTCCAGGTTTTGCTGCAGCAAAACATGAGCAAGTTCAAAAGCCTCAAAAATAACTCTCCCCAAGGGGATCCCCACAGGGTCCTAGATGTCCGCACAGGTTGCCCTGCTTAGTGTTAGCAAGTCCCTAGATCACTGGTTCTCAACCTGTGGGTCGTGACCCCTTTGGCGGTTGAACGACCCTTTCACAGGGGTCGCCTAAGACCATCCTGCATATCAGATATTTACATTATGATTCATAACAGTAGCAACATTACAGTTAGGAAGTAGCAACGAAAATAATTTTATGGTTGGGTCACAACATGAGGAACTGTATTTAAAGGGCCAGAAGGTTGAGAACCACTGCCCTAGAGTATTGTGGGATTTTCAGTGCAGTGGGATTGGCCCCTGTGTGTGGGAGCTTAGCTATTTCTCCCCTGGAGTTCTCATCTCACCTATGGCCTCCAGTGCCCCACCCCCCGCCCCTGGCATCATTCTGGGCTGGCCCTCCAGAGCCCGCCCCCCACCTGGTGCATGCTCCATGCTGACCACTTTTACTGGAACCCGCTCAATGACGATGTCCCACAGGTTCTTGCTGCCGTTCTGTGCTGGCCTTGGTGGCAGACCAGGGATGCCAAGTGCCGTGTTGTCGCTGGGCGGGTGGGCAGGTTCCCAGGAAGAAATGAGGCTGCTGGAGGAGGGCTGCCACTCGTACACGGGAGCAGCTAGACCCTGGGAGGCCATTGAGTACTCGGTCTTGGGGACGGTCTTTAGCCAGGTCCGAGAAGCTCTGCTAAGTGGCAAGTGGCTAAGGACACAGGTTTGGGAGGTAGAGAGCCCTGGGTTTGAGTCGCTGCAGCCTTCTAGCTGTGTGGTCTTGGGCAAGGCCCTTCATCTGTGTGTGTGTGTGGATGGGCAAGATGACACGAGCTAAGGGACAGGGCCTCGGTGTGGCAGCAGTGCCTGGCTGAGCTTTGCTGAGTAGTATCGACTGTGACATCCTTTCTCCCACAAGGCGGTTGGGATGGCTTCATCTCGGTTGGCAGCTGGCATGTGTTGTAAGCAGTGGCACCTGCACTGTCCCAGAGGCAAGATGCTAGTTGAGAGGCCCTGTGATGTCTGTGCAATGAGCCGCGTTCATGGGCAGCTGGCTCACATCTTGGACCCTCCCTAGGAACCTACACTCTAAAGCCACCTGCAGGCAGGAATGCTGGGAAGCAGATCAGCCCCGCGTGGGCACCTGTCAAACCCAGCACTGGCTTCTCTTTTCAGGAATCGCCAGCTGTGAGAGATGGACATCCCAGAGATCCCTCCTCGGTCGGCAATGCCCCCGGGAAGGAAAGCAGAGACGGAGAAAGGTAGGGAGTGATTGCGGGGGCCCGGAGTCTGCTGGCAGGAGGCTCTATGTCCACATTCTTTCTTTTTTTGAGACTCTCACTTTTACATGCTCAGGGTAGAAAGCATGAAAGTACAGAAAAGTGCAGGAAAAATCACAAATAACCCACCGTGAAGGCCTTCATTCTGTCCTGCAGTCGGCCATTACTTGTTGGTCACCTGCACACCATTATCCACCTTACTGACTGCCGTGGCGGGCTTTTGGGTCCTAGGCAACGTCCTCGACCTCATCCAAGTTCAGGTGCAGTGAGGGAGTGAAAAACATCCCCCAAAGTTTTTACTTTTTATAGATGCACTGTATATAGTGTATTCTTAAACCATTTGAAAGTAAGTTACAGAGCGACTCTCAGCTCCTAAATACTCCGCATGCCTCCCAAAAATTTTAAATGCCTACCTGATGACAGTACCATGTCACACCTAAGAAAATAATACACTTCCTCATATCAGCACACTACCTGACAGGTCCCTGATTCTCCCTAAATGTCTTGTACGGCTTATTTTTTTGGAACCAAGATCAGTCAGGCGTCATCGTTGCATTTAGTTGTGTGTCCCTTTCACCTCTTGTAGCATTTCAGTGTTAGCGTAAGGCAGGCCTGACCAGGTCTGAACCAGTAGGAGATTTCTCTAGTGTGCTCTTACAGGGTATACTGAGCAGGGCGTGCACCCGCAGCTTCATGATGGCACCTCTGTGGAATGTTCCATGCACAAGGTGGGCAAAAGGAGGTTTACAGTTATGAGTACATGAAACACAATTTATTCTTGTATTGTTATTTAATTACTAGAGGCCTGGTGCACAAAATTCATGCACGGGGGGCGGGCATCCCTCAGCCCAGCCTGCACCCTCTCACAGTCCGGGACCCCTTGGGGGAATGTCCGCCTGCTGGCTCAGGCCCGCTATCCCCAGGGAACGGGCCTAAGCTGGCAGGCGGACATCCTGCTCGCAGTCTGGGACACCTCATTCCTTACCGCCTGCCTGCTCGCTGCTCCTTAGCACTTGGCTTATTGCTCCTTAGCACTTCCACGGAAGCGTGAGAGGCTTCCACCACCACTGCTGCACTCGCCAGCCATGAGTCCAGCTTCTGGCTGAGCAGCACTCCCCCTGTGGGAGCACACTGACCACCAGGGGGTAGCTCCTGTGTTGAGCGTCTGCCCCCTGGTGGTCAGTGTGCATCATAGTGACCGGTCGTTCTGATCATTCCGCCATAACAGTCGCTTAGGCTTTTATTATATAGACTGGAGGCGTGATATATGAAATTCATGCAAGAGTAGGCCTTTGCAGTCGTGGCTGCCTCGGCCCTCGCAGCCCCGGCTGCCTCTGCCCTTGCAGCCCTGGCTGCCTCTGCCCTTGCAGCCCTGGCTTTGTCCGGACAGTCCGCTGTTCTGCCGTTCGGTCAATTTGCATATTACACTTTTATTATTATAGATTGTATTAGTTTCCATACAAACAACTGTAATCCTACTTTTGCCCACCCCTGTATTCAAGCTTTTCCTCTCTCTTTAGGCCAAGGTTCAGCTGTCTCGGGGGTCCTGGGTGTAAAGCTAGGCCATACCCAATGTCATTGTCAGGCCCAAGCACAAATGGTTGAAAAGGTGGTAAAAATAGCAAGAGACCGAAGAAAACGATTAGCTGGCAGGCGGACAGCCTGCTCTCAGCCACTGTTCTGTGTCCACAAAGAGTCTGATTCACCTGCTGGCTAGGGTCCCCGGGTGTTGAGTAAGGGTGGCGGGTCTTCTAGCTTCACACCTAGTGGCAAAGTGTGCCTGTGCCACACGACAGCCCCTCGTGGGTTCCATCGAGCTCGTGGGGCCTGAAGGTGCTGTTTCTCAGAGTCCCAATGGCCTTGGAAAGGAAGCAGAGGGTGGGCACACTTACTGGTTAGAAACATTGTTGGGATGTTGTCCTCTTTCCATAAAAGCCACCCACAGGCTACCTTGACAGAGAGGCGGGACAGGGTTCTTCCCGGGACCATGCAGTTGTGCTCTGGCCCATCCGTGTTGGCACAGGCTTCTGTCTTAGACACTTAGGGTTAAAAATGTGGCCTGTGACCACAAGGGCAGCCAGTGCCCACAGGATCCATCCTGAGAACCCTAAGTATAAATTGGGAATATGGGAGAAAACTCAGGGAAAGTAAGGCATCTATAGACCCAGCGCCCATGTCCCCCAAATGCCTCCCAGCCACCCACTGCTCCCCTGTTGGGGGGTCTCTCCTCCCCCTTCACTGGCCCACTCCTGCTCAGCTCTTCAGTCTCGGCTTGTCTGCCCCATCCTCAGGGGCTTTCCCTGCCCTTGAGACTAGGCTGGGACCCTGCTTGTTTTTTGTTTCTTTTTTAAATATATATTTTATTGATTTCAGAGAGGAAAGGAGAGGGAAAGAGAGAGAGAAACATCAATGATGGGAGAGAATCATTGACTGGCTTCCTCCTGCTGGGAATCGAGCCCAAAACTCGGGCATGTGTCCTGACCAGGAATCAAACCATGACTTCCTCGTTCATAGGTCGATGCTCTACTGAGCTACGCTGGCCAGGCGACCCTGCCTGTTTTAATGTCTGTGTCTCCTGCTAGACCCAGCGCCCCAGGACAAGGGCAGGTCTGCCAGTTCACGCTTCTGCTCAGTAATGGCCCTCGGCAGCGACGTGGGCAATGGCACTAAGGTCACGCGAACTCTCGCCCATCCTGCCTGGCCACTTGCTGTTTCTCTCCTTGAGCACTGACCGCACACGGTGGCCTTGACAGGGAGTAACTGAGACCAGCGCTGAGGGAAATAGATCAGTGGAACCTTCTCCATCCCCTTGCTTAGCCCTTCTGTTTGCAGCTGGATCATCCAGGGAGAGCAGAAATGCCCCACAGTCGCCTGGCTCCTGAGGGCGGCAGGCAGCAGGTCTGGCTGCCACTGTAGCTGTGATCAGGGCTTGCCCAGGGTGGTTCCCACGGCCAGGGCTGCACGGCTTCACCTGACCTCATGGAGCCAGGGCCTGTGGCACTTGCAGCACAAACCACTTGTCCCGCAGGGCCCTGAAGTCACCAGATGGTCCCGAATCGGCTCAGTCGGAGGAGGAAGTGGACGAACTGTCCCTCATCGACCACAGTGAAATCATGGCGAGGCTGACGCTCAAGCAAGAGGTGGGTACCTCGCAGGCCTTGGTGCAGAGTCTGGCCGGTGACGAGGGTGAGGGGCTTCGAGGAGAATGGAACCGGAGGTGTACCAAATAGAAGGGCCCAAGTGAGGTGCTGCCCCTCCAGGTGGCTGCTGGGATGTGGGCTCCGTGCACCTCTTCCATCCTGGCTTAGCGCCCCAGCCACCGTGGGTGCCACCAGGTCCTGGGCAGATGGATGAGTAACAGGAGAAAGTGCCGTCCCTTCTCTGAACATCTGGCCAGTGATCTTGGGCCGGTTAGAGGTCACCTCTGAGCCCCAGGTGGATGGTTGTGAGAACGAAGTCCATGTAAGGTGCTCAGCACAGGGCTGTGGTGGGTGCGCCCTCGTGTTATTGATAGAATGACCCACCAGTTCCAGCAGGCGAGACACAGCTGTTGGGGTCTCAGACTGCCTCCATCCTGACTTGTCAGGAGAGCTTATTGGCAAAAACAGTCCTCAAGCCTGTCAAATCCAGGGGAGCTACCCTGAGAGAGGATTGTGTCTCCCCTCTGCCCTGCGGTGCTGGAGACGCTGAGGAATGGCAATAACATGGCCCGCCCTGAGGGTGTAACCACGATCCTGGGCTCCTACTCGACGCAGCACAGATGCACAGACACGTGGAGGGCGGATCCTGCCCTTTGCACACTGCGGGCGGGCGGGCTGAGCCGGCCAGGCAGGTAGGGCTGACGGGGGCGTGGACAACGGGCTCCTCTACAGGAGAGGTGCTGGTTCATGACCCTTCCCAGAAATTTCTTCTGAACAGTCAGGTCATGGGCATAATCACCTCCACGCTTAGCGGGAAATCCCAGGCACATTGAGGACACGAGCCCAGGAGCAAGAGTGAAACCCGGGGGGCATGTGCGTCTGCAAGATCGACTGGGGAGCCCGTGAGCGAGGTTGTGCTCCTGTCACAGCAAGGGCGGCCGGACCCTGGTGGCAGCTCTCTTTGGCTCCAGGCCAGGTGAATAAGTTAAGGCCTCGGCGTGCTCACCTGGAAATAAGGCTGTTTCCTTAACTGGCAGGCGTCAGTCACAGGCGTCGGTCCTAGAAGCAGTGTCAGGTGTAACATAATTCCTTTGTGACACTGTCCACTCTTCTATGAAGGGCTCCCCAGAAGAACCCGTGACATGACAAGTGACATCTCCCACCTGGGAGCAGATACAGATTTAGGGCAGCTCGCTGCCGCGCTGGGCGCATGAGCAGCTCGAAAGAGTCCCGCTGCCTCACTTTTCCTGGGAGAGGCTGGGACGGTCCTGTCTGCCCCCCCTGGGGTCCACTGTCCCCCCGTGTGTGAGAACCGCCCTCCTCGCCTCCCTGACCCATGGGTTGGTGAACAGGGACGGGTCAAACGGTGCCATGTCCCCGGACCCAGGTGTGTCTCAGAGCAATGTGCCCCAGGCCGACGGTGTCTGGGCAGCCTCGGGGCCATCCACCTCCCAGATGAGTCCCACTCTGTGCTTGTCTCCCAGTGGAGCAGGGAGGGGGGTGGGCGTGCCTGGCCACACTGGTCCCGGCTGAGGGAGAGCGGAGGGAAAGGGACCTGCGGTCTCTGGCACAGCATCGTCGTCGTGCCATCCCTGCCGTGGCTCTGAAACGGGCTTCTCCGGCTGCGCTGTCCTTGCAGGGTGACGACGGGCCCGACGTCCGGGGAGGATCCGGGGACATCCTGCTGGTCCACGCGACTGAGACAGACAGGAAAGGTATGGCAGTGCCTCTGCAGTGGCCTCTGTCCGTATCAGCTCCCTGGATCTGGGCGCGCTCTGCCCTCCCCTGCCCTCTCCCGCCCTCTCTGCCCTCTCCCGCCCCCTCCCGCCCTCTCTGCCAGACCTGAGTGGATCAGGAAGCGGTGACCCTGGGTCATCGTAGTTGGAGCCGCCTGGGGAAGCAGCAGTGAAAGCCAGGCCTCTGCTTCCCGCCTTCTTGGAGCGTGTCCCCCCCGTTGGTGTGAGGCAGTGACCCCAGGACCCACAGGGGTCAGGAGGGCAGGTTTCAGGTGCAGAGCTCAGCTCCACAAACGGTACCTCGAGTGAAAACGTGCTCCACAACAGTGTTAAGGTAGCTCGCAGGTAGCTTTTTATACTTTCCCCGATGTTTGCGTGACATTTCATTACAGACTAGATGGGGTTGCATTCACGTTCGCCCAGGGGCTTCAGCCCACAGCAGGGGTGCTGCCTCCCCAGGACGTGTTCCTGGCCCCTGAGGGGGAGGAGCCGCCTGTGGGCACCGCGTGCAGGCAGGAGAGCTGTCCTTCCACGCCGCGTTCCGCCAGGGAGAGGAAGCCCGAGGAAGGCCTATGACATTGGTCAGGACTGTGACACTCATTTTCCTTTTACATTGTAAGTTATTGTAAGAATGATGTAACCACAGTGCTAAAGTAAGGTGGAAGGAATTAAACATCCTAGTCTCTTGAAACCCTAACTCCCCAGTTTTGTTTTTGTAGATAACCAAATCCCTATGTTTTATAGCAGAGTTCTCAAAATATGATTCTGTAAACTGTTAAATTATGAAAGTAGTACAAGAACAATGTTTACATCGCAGAAAGTTTGAAAAATAGAAAAAGCAGAAATGTCTCCCACAGACTCACACAGCCACTGTCTTGCCCTCCAAGGGGTCCCCCCTGGTGTCTTCTGTCCGGGGCAGAGCCCAGGCCTGGAGACAAGTCTGAATCCTGGCTGTGCCCGTCACAGACCCGGGTAGCCACTGGGCACAGCTCCCCTCTCAGGCTCAGCTTCTGAAGAGGTTGGTAGTGCCCAGAGAATGTGATGATTGAACGCACGGACATGGAACACATCTGCACAGAGGGAGTCTCTGGAATGTCCCCTCTGGGCCTTGGGGACAGCCGTGGCTCTGCTCTGCAGGGAGCCCTCCAGCCTCTGCCGGCAAGAGGACCGATTTTCCCTTTGCCCAAAGGACAGGGCTGAGGGGGAGCTGGCTCCAGTCCTCAGCTCTGAGCAGCGAACTCCGCTGTCCTGCCTGGTGCAGCCAGCTGTGTCCAAGGCCAGAGGGGGTCCCGCAGGCAGGGCAGCCAAAGACTTGCAGTTCCTGCCAACTGCCTGGGCGAGGAGGCGAGGAGGCGCCACAGCCAGCTGGGCTCCTGCTTGGTTTTGTTAATGGAAAGACTTTGAGGCTCCAGAGCCATCTGTACCTGGGACGGATTGCTGAGGCCTGGGCCGCACAGCCAGCTCCACAGGTGGCTTCCTGCGGACCAGAGACCACACCAGTGGCCTTGGACTGGGGGGCCCCGCAACTCTAGGCGTGCAGACGTGGGTCCAGTCTTCCAGAGCAGGCGTTGGCTTGTGCTGGGCCCATCTCGCTTCCTTGCCCACCCTCTGAACAGAAGCCCAAACTTGACATAGCGGGTGGGTTTGCGGTCCAGGAAGCAGCCTAGCGTGCCGCTGTGGTCCCTGCTCTGACTGCAGCCTCGACCTCCCTCATGACACCCGCTCTTCCAGCTGAACCCCCAATTCAGACCCAGGTGCGGGAGCAGGTGTTCCTTTTCCTCTCCTCTGTCCCGGGAGTGTCTGCAGGGGCGGGGCAGGGGCAGGAGCCAGGTTCGGCCAAGCCTGCACTCTTAGCCGGAAAAGTGGGGAGCCATGAGGTTTTTCCACCGAGGAAGCTGGGGGTGAATGAGAAAAGATGGGGCAAGGTGGCCTGTGTCCCGACCAGAACAGCTCGATAGCATGTGTGCGGACGCGAGGGCAGCCTCATGGGGAGGAGCACGTACTTTGGAGTCAAATCAGGACTTGAACCTCAGCTCCAGCTCAGAAGAGCTCTGACATTCACAAGCCTGGCCGGATTGTCTGTCTCGGGAGTGACCTACATTTAAAACATTTCGCCCCTTTTTTAAGTGTCAGGGACTGTGTGGCTGGGAGGGGAGGCAGCCGCACGTAATGGGGCTGAGCCCTCCAGAGAAGGAGGTCGTGTGGGAGCTGCCAGCCCAGGCGCCTGACTGCTGGAGGCGGCTCCTCCGGGTGGGCCTTGCCCTTCCCTGGCACCCGCGAGTGCCACTGCGTATTCCAGCAGCGTGCCAAGCTCTGCCCCTTCACCCTTCCCTTAGCTCTCCCGTATGGAAGTTCCCAGGGTTTGTCCCTGGGCCCAGCCTCCTGAAGGCATGACCTCTCTCTGACTTAGCTCCAGAAGCCTGCTGCTGAGGTTGAGTGGTTCTCTCCGTGCCCGTGACTAAG